CCCCAAAACCCCAAAACCCCAAAACCCCATATGTTCCAATCTTATTGAAATACTCAGAATATTAAAAATGAAAAACTTAGAGTCAAACTACAATATCGAAACCCTCAGTATCCCTACTGACACAGTCAACCAAGATGTGATTGATCGTGCCCAAAGAAGTTCACTAAAGACCATGGCCACCAAATGCCATAGACGTTCCTTGAGTCCAGCATTTTTAGGAAAGTCACTTAGTGTCAAAAGAAAGGAATCTAGGAATTCTCATGCCAAGAATTATACTTTGGGAGAGGACTTAAATGACAAGTCCTTCGATTACTGAGCAACTCCAAGTACTGGCATCCAGTCCAAGATTGATTACTTCATTTTCCCTTATAATCATAGAGTCAACTGTGCGAAGCACATGACTTTTGATCCTGAAAAAGCAAGTGATAAGAGACACTCCAGCCAAGAAAGAACAAGTGGGTGGAAAAATATCCGGAAGATGATTCTGCAACAAGATGTACGATTCCTTCACCATAATCTGAATAATTTGAATGAAGGACTAGTCAGAGCAACTCAGCCACCAAAAGAGATAAGAGAGATTTTCGCTTTTGGGAAGAAAAAGAAACAGCGAAAGCAAAAGAAATCACCTGCTTCTATTATGAAAAAGAAGTCCTTAATTTTAAACCAATTCAAGTCAAGGATACCCAATTTTAGTAGACTTGGAACTAGTGACATAAATAGAAGCTTGGCAATCTCCAAACAGCAATTTTCGAGTTCTCACCAAAATGGCAGAGAGATTAAGAACAAAAAGTGGCTAGATAGGAGGAATAAGAATCATAACGAGTTCCAGAAAGTTTTTACTAACAATGGGTATTATAATAGCAAGCTGAGCCCGAAGCAAACTATCCTCAACAGGTTAGTCATCTATTTCGCTAGTTATAATTCACCAGTTCAATTTTCCCTTCTAAAGTCTGACTGGATCCAGTAGGAACAACAAGACACCATATAATCTCCCTCAATACCCTCCTTTCACTAGCCGCTACAAGTCCATTCTGAAATATTCAGAAACTTTCGAATTTCTATTTAAACCCAAAACAGTGTTATTATCTAAATTTTACCACTTTTAATCCAAACCTAATACCTCCGCTTAGGAGGTATTTCATGTATTTCTCTCTGCACTTGTTCCATTCTTAAAATAGCCTCATCGTTCCTGCAATTAGAGTTCTAAGTTTTTACTCTTGTCCAACTTGAATTCTGTTCACTTAAAATAGTTCTAAATTCTCGAGATTAGATGTAAAAATTCTACTAGGACAAGTAATTGGATCATAATCATAATTTTATGACGGATTAGGTTAGAAAGTAACAATAACAGCGCTTATGAGGAGTATTGGTAGACTAGGAGTCTACTTAGTATCGGAAGGGACTCGTCCCACAAGCCTTATTCAGGGATCCTTCAAGATATTGATACTTTTATTTAGTTGAGGACAGCCAACTTGGTTTCACATTAGTGGCTTCAACCTATCTACAAGATCTCGGTGAACTTCTTATTTTCTTCTTCGTCAATCAGACTAGAGACACTCCTCGAAAAAACTTTCAGGAACATACTTGTGAGGTGGGGTCAGGGCTGAGTCTTTAGGAAGAAAATATTATTTGGAGGGTCTGTAGTAAATGCCACTTTTTAGAGCAGTTTAGAGGGCTGAGAGTTGGTTGAATAGAAGATTTGTCATTTTGGAAAGTTTATTTATGTGTCTTTATAGCTTACTGACAGAGCCTATCAAAATTTCAAAACCAAGTGAAGAGATTGTTACTAAAGTAAAAGAAGAAAGGACTGAGTTCAGGAACAGAAAGCTTCGAATCAACCCTGAAAAGATCAATAGAAATTCTATATGCTCAACTAAAGCTAGTTTTAATCTTCTGACGCCTGAAATTGCAGGCGATGCAAAATTTTTTAATACTTCCATAACAGTTCCTTCAACGGCAAAAGGGAAGAGAAGGAAATGAAAACTGAAGTCAATAGCTTCAGATATCAAAAAAAAGCGAGGAAATATGATTCTAAATGTCTATTCACCAGGTAAGAATTTTTCATAGCCGAAAGGTTCGAATTTTTATTGTTAAAACTTTTTACTTCTTCATACATTTTCTTATCTTCCAAAATATTCAATTTTCTTTCTATCCAGCAATATTAATCTCCCCATATAGAACCCAAAGTCTTTCCAAAGCACGGAAAAATTAAGGCGTTTCGAACCAATGATTTTTTTTACCAAACCATTATATAATCTTCAACCAAGGGATTTTACGATGGGGTTTTGGGGTTTTGGGGTTTTGGGGTTTTGGGG